TCTCTTCCTAGGTCTAATCTTGACTATATAGCAGTATATTGATTCCAGTAATGTTTGTTCAGCACCTATTTTCCAGGTACATGTGAGACACTAAATGTTTTCACTTGGATCTTACACAAGTCACCTTAAACCTTAATCTCATCATATCTTCCTCCAAATCTGCTTTTATTTTTTCTTTGATTATCTATTTTGGTGAATCCTAAGTCCACTCATTACATCAAAAAAAGAGAAATTGATTTCAGAAAACTGTACTTACTTTACTTTTAATTCTATCATATTTATTCTACTTCTAAAATATATCTTTAGCATTTCTTTTTCTTTATTCTAATTAGGATTGTCCTAACTCCAGTGCTCACTATGTATTTCTTGGGGAATTGCAGTAGACCATTCTTCTCAACACAGTTACCAGTGTCATCTTTCTAACACAGTAATCTAATGATCTTACTTTTTTGTGTGATATTTGTTAATTGTCTCCCATTCTGTAAGTATAATTTTATACCACCTCCTTCGCATGGCACATAAGACTTTTGTCATATGGTTTTATCATTTGGTCTCTGCTTGTATGTCCAGTCTTTTCTCCTTCCACTTTAACTGTTTTTATCTCTTAAGACACTATCATTCAGAAATAGCAAACTTCAGTAGTTCCCCCTTATCTATGGTTTCACTTTCCATGGTTTCAGTTACCTGTAGTCAACCATGGTCTAAAAATATTAAGTGGAAAATTCTAGAAATAAACAATTCATTAGTTTTAAATTGCACAGTGTTCTGAGTGGTGTGATGAAATCTCACACCGTCCTGCTCCATCCTGCTGAGATGTGAATCACCCCTTTGTACAGCATATTCATGCTGATTATGCTTCCCACCCACTTAGTAGCCATATTAGTTATCAGATCAATTGTCATGGAATCACAGTGCTTGTGTTCAAATAACCCTTATTTTACTTAAGAATGGCCCCAAAGTGCAGGAGTAGTGACGCTGACAGTTTGGATATGCCAAACGGAAGCCATAAAGTATATATAAGTATAGGGGGAAAGAAAACAATCTAGACGGGGCTCAGTAATATCTGCAGTTTCAGGCATCCACTGGGGGTCTTGGAATGTATCCTCCTTGGATAAGAGGGCACTACTGTATGTTCAATCTTCCGAATATGGTATGTCCTCTCACACTGCTCTGTTTTTGTGCACATTTCCTCGTCCTAGAATGTGCTCATCATTCAGTCAGCCCTCTGACATTTCACTACAATTTTACTACTTGCGTCGAAATGCTATGTTCTCTGTGAAGTCTTCCTTGATTTTCACCAGCAGATTTGGTGCTCCATGTACTGCTTCTCACTTTGATTTGTATGCACTGGCCTAAAGAAATATTTGCATTGTGATCACTTCTGTGTATAAGTTTTAACGTGAGGTTGTAATTTTTTTGTGGCCAGAAATTTCATCTTTGCAATACAATGGTTAACATAGGCCTGGAAATGAGAAGGACTCAATTTCTTATGCTGTGAAAGAATGAAAGAGAAAGATGTGTAAAACTGACACTGGTATTGGAGGCATATAGAGTGTGAGTTGGTAAAGAAAGGGTAAATTTTGAGGGAAAGCTGACAAGTCCAGTTTTGGAGACTTGAGGTACTTGAGAAGGTCAGTTATAACAATTGAAAAATTTAGGGCTGGCTGAGTGGCACGATGGTTAAGAACTGGCTTGGGACGCCAGAGGGCCCCGGTTCGGATCTCACATGAGGGCCAGTGACACTGCCCTCTACAGCTAAGATGCTGAACAACATCTCAACCTGGAGCTGGGCTGCTGTGAGTTGCCAGCGACGGCGTAGGCTGCAGCCCCTGTGGCAATGGGTTGCCATGGGCTACCATATGTAGCCAGCAGCCAGCGTGAGCGGCCAGCAGCCGCAGTGAGCGGCTGTCCAGAAGCCAGAGACTGATATGCCTCGCCTGGGAAGAGCGCAATGATGGTGCCAACTTGGGCCAGTGAAGCAACGTCCTCCACAACTAGACTGAAGAACAAAACGACAGCAACTTGTCTGTTCCCCTTCTCCCAATTCCCCAGCACTGTTCCCATCCCCCCAATTCCCCAATAAAAATCTTTAAAAAAAAAATTGAAAAATTTAAATGATGTCTCTGGTTTTATAAACTAGAGCATGAATAGGTCCCTAGTAGCAAAACAAAATGTAATGATTGAGCACTCACCATCTGTTTGATAGCAAAACTCCCAGCTTGTATTTCTTTAGGCACCAGTTCTCACTACTCTACCTTTAGGAATCACAATGATAAGGGTCATTGCTCTTCTTTTTAGTCTCTTTGTACTAAAACTGGGACACAGAGGTATGTTCTTGAGGCTAGAGAACGCTGTCACCATAGACTTTTGAGATTGATTAATCTAGGGGATATTAGCATGGCACCTGAATGACAAGCTGGGGGACTGGTTTAGCAGCTGCCTCTGCTGAAGACTGGAAGTATTCTGCACAAGTCAGACATTCTTTAAGGAAAAAATATCCCAATCCTCTAGCTTACCCTCAATCAAGGAAACTTCCTACCAAAAACTAACATGGACTCTCAAGTTGTAACTTGTTAAACCCCTTTGTACTGAAGGAGTAGTGGTTTCAGAGAAAAAAAAAAAACATTATTGAATCCATTCTCATGTTGTGGCCCCATATTGCAAGATGGCTATTAAACTTTAAGGGGTTGTGTCTGCATTTCAGGCAGTAAGAAGGGGAAAGGCAGTAGTACTCTGGAAGTAGTCTTTCTTAATAATACCACTCAAAGAAAATTCAACTAACTTCAGATTGTCTGGAACTGTGCCATATGGTCACACCCTGCAGCAATAAGTCTGAAGATAAATATTTTTTAGCTGGACACTTTACCACCCGGATTATATTGGGGCTATGCAAGCTAACTGGTAAAAATGGACAGTGAATAAACAATTAGCAGTATCTTCCTTACCTTTTAACTAATAAGTTTATTTAAAACTGAAGATTTAATGAAGCAGACAAAAATTTTTAAGTATATAAAAAGAATCAGGAGATTTATTTTCACAGACATCAAAAGAAAAAAGACTTTACGAGGCAGGAAATTTATAGTAATAAAGAAGTAGTGGGTATTCCTATTAATAGAAATCAGAAAGATGGAAGAGAATAAGAAAAACTTTGCATGTAAAACAAGACCTACAACGGTACTGATGTCTAACATGTGTTTAAGGCTCTTGGTGGATATCCAGGCAGTGCCATCCATAAAAGACATACTGACTCAAAGTTCAGGAGAGAACTCAGGCCTTGGATTTAGATATAGTATCATCATATAAGTAATTGCTAAAGCCGTGGGTAGGATGGGATTGCCTCAGGAGAAACAGTCAAGTGAGTAGATATTAAGATCCAGAGAATAAGTTGGAGAACAAGATGAAACTTGGGAGAATATCTCACTTTTCAAAATTTGTAATGATATTTTTATTTGGGTGTGTGTTATTTTATATCCACCATTAAATGATCAGTTCTATAAAGGCAAGGGCAGTGTCTATGTTATTATTATTATTAAGTATCTACCACAGAGATGGAAGCCAATATGTACCCATTAAATACTTGCTGAATGAGCTAATGACTAAATGAAGAAAGAAGAGCCATTGAATGAGAGTAAGAAGATAAATAACGAGTAGGAGAATAACCTACTGACAGAAGTTTTGTAGAAATCATACAAAGAAAGAAATTCAGAAAGTATATGGCAGTCAACAGCGTCAAAGGTATCAAGAGAGAAAATACATACTGATATCAAATAAGTTAAACTATTTTAAAAACTAAATTTATATAAACAGTACATAAGTTAATACACATTAAGCACTTAGAACAATGCCTGATACATAATAAGTAGTATAAAGTGCCCTTATGAAAGAGACCCCAGACAGCTTTGTTTTCCCTTCCACCATGTAAAGACACAGGGAGAAGGTGGCCACCTATGACCAAATCTGCCCGTGCCTTAATCTTGAACTTTTCAACCTCCAGAACTGTGAGAAATAAATTTCTGTTGTTAAGCCACCCAATCTATGATATTTTGTTAGAACAGCCTGAGTGGGCTAAGACAGATGGCAATCTAAAGGAGCATCAGTGTAACCTCGGGTGGAACTCCTCACTTCATTCACTAGCTAAGGAGGCCTACTGAATTGTCCTTGGCTAATATTGGAACAGAAAAATAATCTGTCCACCTTGAGTTTAGTGGAGTCTGCAGATATACAACAAAATTTAAAGTTATCTAAAATAAATAATTATAAGAAATTACAGTATTTTATATTATCTTCAAAATATCCTCCTTTTAAAATCAATAGCTCTTTTTGTACCTTCCAGAACTGTACACACAAGATTGCTGTTTGTTCTATATAATTAAGTAAAACTAGCATGCTTAGCTATACTCTTTTTTTTTCTAAGATGAAACCCTTAATTCACACAGTTATTCCTTGTCCTATATTGTTTTCTCATTCTGATCATTTAGTTTTAAGATTCCATCGTCCATACCAATCGTGAACTCAATCATGAACTCAAGTGTATTCTGAATAACTGTAGTCTTTGAGTCTGAGGATAGTTTTAATCTCTTACTGGCAACTGCTTTAATTTTTCAAGCCCTATTAAGATAACTTATACTAATCTTTCTCGACGCTTTGTTGTTCTTTCATCCCGTGATTATATTTCTGTTATTTTAGCCTTTCATTTCATGATGACTCTGTTGGCTCATTTCATAGGAAGAGGGCCTGAAATAATTGACATTGGACAACTTGAACAATGTTGGGTAGGTTAGTAAAACAGAGAACCACAGTTCTGAACTAAAGATGACTAGTAGTTGAGGAGGAACAATTCTTTTAAAGAGCGTGACCAATTTATGGTTGTCCATTGAAGAGCTTGACAAGCCCTTAAGCCCAACAGACTGGCTGAGGCCCAAATAGCAAATCAGATATGGGAAAAAGCTGTCCAACCCATGGGCTTAAATGGTGATATTGTTCTCTTTGGTCTTATAAAGGAGTGTGTCTGAGGTTCCTGCAGCATCAAGAGAGAGAGACACCATGGCTTCTACCAAGATGCTTCTGCTCTTGCTCTCGATGGCCTTGCTGGCCCTGAGCACAGCTCATGACATCAATGATGGTAAGAGGGGGGAAATAAGGATTCCTCAAGGGATGACGGGGTTAAAATTTATGGAATAAAGTAGAGTTGAACTGTCCCTTCTCAGAGATTAAGTATTTCATTTTCAGAGACTAGGTAAAAAAAAAGAGAAGGCAACATTGGTTTCTATTTTGCACTAATTGCAAATATCTCTGACGACTCGGGCCTCTGCCAGCATCTTCTGCTGTTTTTAGAGATATGAACTTTCAGTTATTCACTCGCTGTGAAACAGGTCATCTAAATAGAGTGAAAATTCTATAGTTCATTTAGATATCTCATTTCCTTGACATCAAACACTTGAACATTTTGATTAATTTTTTGTTTATTTCATTAAAATATTCACCTAAGGCAGGCTCTATTCATTTTTTTCTCTCCATTACATTACTTACTCTTTTTAAATACTTATAAGTCTGGTCATGTAACCATTTGGCAAGCATGTATTTATAGTAAATCTAGGGAGTCCTAGAAATAGATAATATCAGGCAGTAATGAAAGAATTTATATATAACAGAAGAGGAAGGCTAATATTTTATCAACCTGTAGCTCTTTTAAATAGAGAAGATAAATGGAATATCTTAATGGTACCAAATGTCCAGATACAAAGTCAAAATCCAGATAATCGTTTAAATAACTGCAAACTTTCAGATACCAGACTTCTTGTAAAACAAACAGTTAGAAGTTGGAATAAAATTTTATTTTCTTCTGAAATATTTTGTCATTATATAGAAGCAGCCCAAGTGAACAAAGTAGTAATATTAAACAAATACATGAAATTCTAATAGGTTATTTGAGTTTTAACTTGATGCCATCTACTGAGACAAAGTTGCCGTTCATGGGGGAGGTAATTCTAAAACGGCAATTTCAGATTTCCCTGAAAGATGTGTAAGCTTTAATAAGCACCCATGAAAGGGTAGTTTATGATAAAATTCTTTGTGCCTCAAAGCCTAACACTTCATGATAGTTTGGATATGAGGTGGGAATAAGAGTAAAACTCTAAGGAAAGATTTTTTTTAAAGTGTGCACTGGGAATTTAGTCTATGCCTGGTCTTGTACATATATTATGTCATTGGTATTTACCACAACAATTTGAAGTAGATATTATTATCCATATTTTACCTTTGAACCATAATTTCATAGTTTAACTATTTCTTAGAGCTTATACAACTAGCAAATGATAAAGCTATTTTATAGATTCAGCCCTATCAGATTTCAAATCTCATGACCTTTCTACCTCATTTGTGACCTATTTTAACTTTTCCATCATCTAAAATGACTTGAAATGGACTTAAGTATGTTGAATATTTTCAAGCTAGTATCTCTATTCAACACAGAAATTCCTTTGTTCCATATCTCTGCTTGTTCCCAAATGGATTTCCCTCTTGACATCTGTTCCCTAACTCACCCACTTCTCAAGGTCAGCCTTACAGTCTAATTAAGTGCAGTGCCATGTTTCTCTGAATATTTCATAGAACATTTATTTATCAAAATGTGAGTAACGTTCAAGTAAAAATATAGCTTAAAATATTGTTAAATGTAGGATGCCCGCAAACACCACCAAAACAATCTGCTATGAGGCAAAGATGAGTGTATCTTCACTTTGGTAAGAACAGTGCTATTTTCCCTGTATAGTGCCTCTGGGGAAAAAAGGCAAAGTTGGAATCTTTAAAAATAAGTTTTGGGGGTCTGGTTTAAGGAGGGCTTTACTACGAATAGGTAAGATTCATGTTTTAAGAGGTTAGGAGGGAAGGGTTCTGAGTCTTGGAGAGAAAACAATTGATGCCACTGAAAAGGTGAGCAGATTAGTATTTGTTTAAATAGGTTTGTGGCAAATTCCTGAAATAACAAATAATTATTTGAAACATTTACCTTTATGGGCAAGAATTTTCTGGAATAGTAAAGTCTTGTTAGTGTAGACAGTAAGTAGTACTGTTGTAGATGCTTTCAGTTCTCAAGTTTTCTCTGTTGCAAGATGTCACATAATCTTTATTCGCTGCAATCATTGTGGCTCTCCATTTCATTACATATAATGCAGAACCAGTAAAATATTTGACACCCTTTTTATCTCTGCTTCAGAATCAATGATCAGGTCTAGTGTTCTACTTTGGGAAATGTTGGTTCATTGTATCCAAACCTTTTATTATTATTATTATTATTATTAATATTAATTATTACTATTATTTCTCTTAAGCATTTTCTAATTGCTTGTATCTAAACTTACTTGTCTTTGTAAAAGTGTATAGCTGGGGTCTTATCAAATCATATTTAAAATTTATCTTCTTTTTTTTTTTCTTTTTAAATCCTAGGTACTGATTCTGAAGACCTACCTGAAGAGCCAGGTAAATCCTTTTTCAAGGATGTGTTCCTTTCTTTTTTTCTTCAGAACCTATCATACTTTTTACTTTGCTTGGTGTTTGTCTCTTAAAAACTCTCAAAATTGAGTCTAGAGAAAGGCAAAAAGGGATAACAAACCCCTAAGTTTTAGTGGTCCTCAGTTATCTTTTTAGATATGGGCCATTTCCTTCCTTTCCACATTGGAATATTCTGTGTCAGATATATAAATAGTGTCTCAACATCAGCAGAACATGGCACCCTACTCATTTGTAAATCCTGTTCTCTAAATCCTTCTACAACCAAAGACGAATGATTGAATAACACAAATCGCTTACATTTGTAAGGGCAATATCTCCATTGACATTTAACTAATTTGAATGCAATCATAAAGATACTCTGTAATTAATATAACTAAAGTACTTCTATTATTCAATCAGCAAGTTTACAATTGCACCTTATTTATTTACTGCACTAATGCCTCATTCCTTTGTTATCAAACCTTGATATCTGTTTAAATGGTAAGATGCCTCCGAGTAGAAGTTTAAAACCATTACTAGCTTTACACACTCTAAATGAAAAATTCGAAGTCAGTTTTAATGACAAGGGAGGGAGTGTGTGTAGGAGGGAGGATATAGAAAAGACCACAGTACATGAGAGAGCTAATGAATTATAAGTTATGTCACCAAAGAAGCAGCAGAATTGAATAAATGAGTCAACTAAAAATTTTGTTGCTTAAAGAAAGCCTTTACATGCTTAATGATTTTCCCCAGTTCGTGACTTAATGATCCTTCCTCTCAGGTTATGATGTCATTGTATACATTATATATTTTTTTGTTGTTCTTTCTTTGAAGAAGTCCCTCAAGACAAAGAGGAAGAGTCCCCAGTAGAAGGTGAGTTATTCTGAATTCAATCGACTTATTTACACTTTTTCTAAATGGATTCTAGGAACCTCTGGCCACTGTTATAATCCAAAATTTCTACACTTTTTACTTTAATTTAAAAGAACATGCTTCACTTCTAAGATGTTCTTTCTCAACCATTCCATATAGTTTAATCTTATTAGTTCCATACTGCAGAAGGAGCATAAAAGACCAAAAAAAAAAAAGGAAAGAAATTATTTACTTTAGATTTAGATTTTTTTTTTAAGATTTTATAGGGGAATTGGGAAAGGGGAACAGTGTTGGGGAATTTGGGAAGGGGAACAGCCAAGTTATTGTCCCTCAGTCTTAGTTGTGGAGGGTGTGCAGCTAGCTTAGCACCAAGTCCAGTCACCATTCAGCCGCCTGGCAGCAGCTCACAGCCTATCGGCAGCTTGTGGCCATTCAGCTCAAGATGCCATGTTCAATCTTAGTTGCAGGTGGGTGTAGCCACTATCTCATGCAGGAGTCAAACCAGCAACCTTGTTGTTAGGAGCACGTACTCTCACCAGCTGAGCCATCCTGCCACATGTTGGCAGTTCAGCAGAAGCTCAGTTTGGTCATAGTTCACTGGCCCATGTGGAAATCGAACCGGCAACCCTGTTGCCCAGAACTCACGCTCTTAACTAACTATGCACTCGGCTGGCCCTGCTTTAGAATTAAGAGTTCTCTCAGGTCTAGAAATTGTGGTCACTGCTTTCCTTCTGATTTTTTTTCTTGCCTAGGTTACCTGGCCTTGGCTATCTTTCTAGGGGTATGCCTATGAGGATTCCTGGGGAGGGAAATGCTTTGACTATCTATATTCTCTACCCCAATATTAATTCAATAAAATTTAATACTTAACAATAACCAGGGCAGGGTCTAATTCTTGGTACCAAGGATTCAAAGGTAAATATCCTTAAGGAACTCAGGATGTAATGGAAGATTTAGCTTGGACATAATGATGACCACTATCAGAAAAGTGGAAAAAAAGGTATGATGGAAGCTCAGAGCAGGTGAGAAAAAGGAAGGCCTCCCATAGGAGATGCCATGTGATCTGGACCTTGGAGAGTGGAGGCATGGAGGGGAAGCATAGTAAAATGCATGCCTACATCTGTGCATATAACATATTGGGGCATCAGGAAAGTCATGACACATTTTTGCATTGAAAAACATAGAAAAATACGTCATGACTTTCCCAACTACCCAATACTATTTCAATGGTGTGGGAACACTGAATAATTCAGTAAGGCTGAAGTGAATGTAGGAAAATAAAGCTGGACATGGGGGTTAGTTTCAGACTGTGAAGGGTGTTGTGAATTGGAAGCTGAATTTGTAATTTACTCTATGTGCAACAAAGAGATTTTTGAATAGGAAGGTGACAGAGCAATTTCTCTGTTAACCTGGCAACAATGAGGAGTAAGCAGCTTGAGAGCACAGACTGTGCCTTTTAAGCCTGAAATCTTAGTTTCTGACATAAGGCACAATATAGCACATGGGCACAAAATATGTGTTGAATTCATAAGAGAATGTTTGTAGAGTGATGGCCATGAGATCATAAAGAAATGATTGAAAGTTAATGCAACAGATGGTGAGGGCTGGGATTCAATTATAGGTGCCATAAATTTGCAAAAGGAGACAATATAAGATGGGCTTTATTTATACTTTGTTTACAGACTTAACAATTTGTAGAAGGTGATAGAGGAAAAGGGAAAGAGGTTTTTATGTGATTGATCTGCTATTGAGAAGGCCAGGGTGGCTGATAATTTCCCTGGTCAATAGATTTGTGCCAAGATTTCATGTACACGAGTATCTATAGGTAGACACAGCGACTCCATCTTGTGGTTTCTCTCAGACATCATGAAATAGCTAATGGTTTAGATGATTTCATACATTTCATGGCAAATTCAGGATAGATGGCAATATAGAATAGTGGCATAAACATAAAAAAAAAGGGAGAGCAAACGGTGATGGGATGAACAAGAGCTGCTAAGCTAAGTAATGCATTCTAAAGAGGCCAGGACTTCTCTGCCCCTTCTCTTCTACGCACCAGGCCCTGGTCACTATCCAGTGTCATTCCAATCAGTAATGCATTACTCCTAACTAAATTTAGGCTACAGTAGGTTCCATACTTGCCTCATTTAAGTTGATGGCTAGCCTTTCTCTTTCCTTGTTTCTTTCTGAATCTGTGTTCTCTCGATTAAACAGATCCTGAATCACCTAAAAACTCCTTGGCAGAATTGCAAAATAAACCTCAAGGTGAACATGGAAGTCAGCATGGCAATAAGACCAAAGATGGGGAAGAAGACCACGGTCAGCAGCGTGAGCGTCGTAGCCAGGAGGAACAGCAAGTCCAGGAAAGCTTATTGAGAAGAGGTGGAGGAGATGGCCAAAGAGGCCAAGGTGGTCAACGTGGCCAAAGAGGCCGAGGTGGCAGAGGTGGACAGGGTAGATCTGGCGGCCAGAGAATCCAGCGTGGAAGAGATGGCCAAGATGGTCAGCGAGGTGGCCAATGACAAGGAAAACCAACTAACGATGGCTTCCAGTGATTCCTTAGGTATAATTGCATTTTTATTCACTGATCTAGTGAATTTCTCCTTAAATGTTTAACTCTTTGCTTTTCTTTCTGTTCATTTCTCTAGTTTTTAATCTTGATTTTAATCACTCTTAAATTCTTTGATCAGCTTTGTCCTTGCCACGATTCTCCTTGCCTCAACCTTACACATAGAAAAGTCTCTTCCGTTTTTAGAAGATCAAGTGTTACAGAAGTAACACTTCAGTTTTGGGGTTTTTTTTTACTCTGTTATTCTTATATTAACCTAAGCCTCCCCAGTTTGTACCTCCTGGCCCCTTCTCCTCTGTTTCCTTTCCCCCCTCTCCTGGCCTCCTCCTCCCCCTTCACCTCCCCACTCTGCCTTCTTCACCTCTCTCTCTTAATGTAATGTGATATTTTATAATGAGACTACTTAATAATAGAGATATGAGGCATAGATCATGCTCAGGCCAAGTTGTTAGTTCTGTCTAAACTCTTTCTCTTTGTTTCAGAATTGATAGAGATCAACTGGGGACCATCAGCTTTTCAGTAGTGTAAACTTCTTGGCCCTTCCTTTCCAACTTTAAATCATCAATAAAGTCATCAGCATTAATCCTTGGCTCTTGTTTTCCTTTTAGGATTATGGTTCTCAGTCAAGGGACAAGAAGGACAGGCTGGGAGGGACAAAGCCCTGCTTGAACTCCAAATGTTCTGTATCGTGCATCTTTATAGGTAGCTCAACCTTTAATAATTTTGTGAGGACTTAACTACCAGCATCTCAGAATGCGACCTTATTTGGAAATAGGGTTGTTGCAGATGGAATTAGTTAAGATGAGGTCACATGGGTATAGGGTGGGCCCCTAATCCAGTATGACTAGTGTGCTTGTAAAAAGGGCAAATTTGGACATAGATGTGCACAGGGAGAACGCCATGTGGAGACAAAGACAGAGATTGGAGTGATGTAGCAGATGCTAAGGAGCACCAAAGATTGCTAGCAAACCACCAGAAGCTAGGAGGCCTGGAACAGACTTCCTTATAGCCCTCAGACTGAGCCCACACTTTGATCTTGTGATAAAATAATTTTCTATTGTTTAAGCCACTTGATTGATAGTACTTTGTAACAGCAACCTTAGCAAACTAATACAGTGAGAAAATTTACTTACCAGATTTTTTTAAATGAATAAGCATACATAGACTAATTACAGCACACTTACTCCATCTACCTCCAAAGTTTCTGAACGGAGATCAACAGACAAGGGTGTGAAATATCTCTTAGTTGGTGGGCTCAATACAGTCAGGCTAGGAATTGTGCCTAACCTGTAAGCTCTTTGTTTCTCTGAGTGCCAAAATTTGGTTATGGGGAGTCACCCATTGAATGCTGGCAGCCCAAGAGGATTGACTATGAAATGAAGTTAGGATGAAAATGAAGGCTCTAAGGGGACATTTCTATCAAGACCATAAGCAGTTTGCTTTTAGTATTCGTATTAATGAAGAATTTACAGATTAAAGTAACAGAAACAGAAATTAAACATGTTTAATACCCTTTATGCCCACATTCACTGCCAGGTTCAATTCTGGAATCAGATCGAGAACTGGCCTTTTCCTTGGAAGTAAAATTGGTCTCTGATCATTCTGGCTTTCTCAGCACCCCGACTGACTTTCCATCCAATAGATTCTGAAGTAATGTGACCATTCTGCAGATAGACTTGGGTACATTTCACAATGCAAAATGTATAAAAATATATAAACCTGAGAGTAGAGACATTTGAAACTGACTTGGGTAAGGAATCAAGAAGAAATTAATATCTTTCTCTTCACCTTGCAAGCAGGCTAGAAGCCCCAGTTGTGATCTTTCCCAATTTTCCATTATTTATTAAAAGCACAGGGGAAAAAAAGTAAAACCCAATAAATCTCATAATAGCACTAAACATTAGAGATAAATGACAATAATATACTAGATAATGGGTTGCTATCATTTCAATCAAAATACTAGGTAGCAATGCTCATGGTCTCCTATCCAAATCAATACATTTTTGCATAATACAAGCTTACCGAATAATCAAAAAGACATTCATAAATGAACCACTTAATGTCATGCTTTATTTTCAGAAAGAGATCCCAAAACTTGGCTTTCCCGGTTAAAAACTGCTGCCTAGCAACATTACCTTCATCTCAGGGCTCAATTCCCCATTTCTTCTTTCTCAATATCATCATCCAAAAAAGCTATCTCCCAGCCCACCAGAGGAAACTTTCAGTTTGCTCACATTAAAATAAATCCCTTGATAAAGAGGTATCTCTCCTACCAAGACAAAATTTTATATGAACTGATTTATATCCCATTCTGAAATATTTGCAAAGAAATGATCATGCTACACCATTCTGCAAAAATGCCTTTGTTGTTCCTAAAATTATCACAAATTCAGCTTCCCATTCACAACATCCTTCACAATCTGAAACTAACTCCCATCTCCAGCATTTTCTTCCTATATTCACTTCAACCTTACCAAATTATTTAGTTTTCCTAGACCGTTGAAATACTATATTATATGCATAGATTTAGCCATGCACTTCTCTCTACTTTTCTCCACACTGCACCTTGCAAGGTCCAGATCACATGGCATCTCCTTTGGGAGGTTTCCCTTTTCTCCTGTGCTCTGAGCTCCCATCACACCTTCTTTTGCCACTTTTTTGATAGTGGTCATCATTATGTCCAAGCTACATCTTCCATTAGACCCTGAGTTCCTTAAGGACAGGAACGATGTTTCATTTACCTTTTATATCCTCAGTGCCAAGAACAGGTTCCTGCCAAAGTGATTATTTAAGGACAAAGAAGATAATGCATAAGTTGTTGATTTGCATATGTCTGACCACTGGGGCTTAATTATATGATTCTAACTGGAACAGACAAATGTTCCCTAAAAATGAATTTCTTCTGCCATACCTAGAGTTATAGGCAGGAAATGTCTAACATGTTTAGTATAGCTTTTTTTTTTTTAAGCCACACTTAAATGCCAGTCACAGAGAGGCCTCTACTGCTCAATCATTTTGTAAGAATAAAATTGGGCATTTGTGTGTAAATTTGAATTATGTGTTTTAAATTTTACCATTCAGAAGTTACGTATCAGATTATCTTGTACTTTTCTAGGTACTTAGAGATCCTGATCTGATTTGGGGAAGAATTCTCCCCCCAACACAGTGACGATGGGCCTGAACTAAGACTCACACTTGTTTATTTGCACATATTTCATCTTTTGAAATGGAGCCATACAGTTGGTTCCAAAGCAGGCAGAGAGACTACAGTCATCACAAGGGTCTGTCCAGAGAGGCAAGCATTAGACTGACCAAAAACCTGACCATCCACACCTCACTACACAAGAGCTGCTTTCTGAAGAAGCCAGCTTTATAAGTATACCACTTTGGCACCCAATTAGTACCTGTATTTTCAACATTTACTCAAAAGTTGAATGGCTGAAGACAAAAGCTTGCTGACATCCACTAGATGAGTCCTTCTGTCCACCTGAATCTGAAGAACCTTCAATGCTGTGTTCTGATAGGTGCTAAGTACATCCATTCCAATTTTATTCTTGAGAACTAGGGAGATAACCACAGAGTGGTTATGTTGGTATGTGAACCCACTGGAGCCACTGAAGAATTTGTCCCCAAGCCTCCATTCTCACTGGAAGATTAATTTGATGGCATTTTTAGTGCTCTGGTATTACTGTCAGGTCAAATTCTATATTTAAGAGCTCTTAAAATATCTAAGAATCCCTCTTTCTCCAGTTCACACTCTGTCACATGAGCATAGTTCCCTATGGGGAGAATTGAAGAATGAGAAAATGTCTACCATGAACACTTGCAGTGGCCTTGCAAGGTCATTCCTCAGTGGGACCCAGCCTCCTCTTCAGTTAATGGACTATTTTTGTGAAGTGACTTAGAGCTATTGCAGAAGCTTGAGAAGAAATAGATTTTCTAATGCAGTGACTTCTTGGAATTTCATTTTTTTCTTACATAATACAGGAAATATCTTATTTGACTATATATCTATATGAATCCTAGGAATACCATTTCTACTATTGGGTTGTCAGAAAAGTCATGACGTATTTTTTCTGTTTTTCGTTGCAAAAATGCGTCCTGCCTTTTCCGACAACCCAATGGTTCTCACTACAGATTCCTGTGGATCAATGTATGGTGATCAGTGCTCTGGCTGGTCTTGCCATCCAAAGTGATAGGTGGTTAAGTGCTGTAACTGGCAATTCTGATATACTCAGGGACACAGGGGAGCCCAGTTTCCTGGGAGCCAATCCCACCAGCCAATTCTGGCCTACAGAGAACATCCCATCACTGAGGTTCAGTATTGCCAGTGCTCCCCTCACCAGAGCATTCATTATTGCTTCAGGGAATGGAGTACCCTGAAGGATATCCTGAGAATCATAGTTAGGTGGTGGGTTGTGTCTTATGTAGTCAGTCCTTTCTGACATTGTCATTTCCCTGAACTTCTTGATCTTTCTTAATATCATGACAAAGAAATTACAGCAATTCTACCTTATCTACAAGACAGTCATTGTTTCCAAGCTCCGTAGAACTGTCTCAACAGAATATTAGCATTGGGTTTATGTGCCCCTGCCAGAATACTGAGTCCCAAGTCATTATTGAGAGCCTCCATGTCAATAAATTCTTCAATCCAGACTAAATAAAGAGGACTCCTTGTTCCACCACCCTCAAGACCCATTTCCAGCATGTTTTCTTATCCTTGCTGATGTGCTAACAATGTGTGCTAACATTAGCTTGAAGCTAGTTTCTTTTGGAGCAGAAACTACTTTCCTGATTGGGTTGTACTGGAAACTTGTCCTGAAGTAACGAGGAGTGGTAGGGCATATCTTTCTTTTTATTATTTTTTTTTCTGTTACCATTGACTTACAATATTATATTATCTTCAGGTATACAACATCATGATTAGACATTTATGTAACTTACGAAGTGATCACCCTGATAAGCTTAGTACCCACTTGACACCATACACAGTTAGTACAATATTATTAACTATGTTTCCTATGCTATACTTTATATCCTTGTGACTGTTTTTATAACCAGCAATTTGTACATCTTAATCCTGTTTCCCTTTTCACCTTTCTCCCCCAACCTCCTCCTATCTAGTAACCATCAGTTTGTTCTCTGTACCTATAAGTCTGTTTCTGTTTTGTTTGTTTATTTATTTTGTTCTTTAGATTCTGCATATAAGTGAGATTATATGGATTTGTCTTTCTCAGTCTGACTTATTTCAACTAGCATAATACACTCTAGGTCCATCCATGATATTGCAGGTGGCAAGATTTGATTTTTTCATGGCTGAATAATATTTCATTGCATATATGTAACACATCTTCTTTATCCACTAATCTATCAGTGGACACTTAAATTGCTTTCATATCTTGGCCATTGTAAATAATGCTACAATAAACATAAAGATGCATATGTCTTTTTGAATTAAGTATTTTGGGTTTTTTTCTGATAAATACCCAGAAGTGGAATTGCTGGGTTATATGGTAGCTATATTTTTAATTTTTTGAGGAACTTCCACACTGTTTCTGTAGGGCACGTCAGGAGGAGAACAACGTTAACCTGCCTCAGGCTGAGTTAACTGAACAGTTTCCAGGAGTGAGAAGGCTCTTCTGCTCTTGTAAAAAGTAGGCGTCTGCTTCTGGTGGTTCTGAAGCTTCCAGGGAATCCGGGGGTTTCAAATTTTGCCTCATCTACCTAGATATCCCTATTGCAGGTGTGAGGGTTCTATATTTTTATGCCAGGGCCATGATTTTAACATAATTGCTCCAGCAATTACTACCCCTCTCCTATATTATTATCTCCCTCTCTACTGAATCATTTCAATTTGCATGCACTCACTATATTATCCAACTTAAAAATATAACCAATGAAAACACTAAAATTTTGTCTTGCTTCCATGCTCCATTCTCTACTCTCCTTAATAAAACTTATTAAAATATTACATATTCACCATGTCTGTGCTTTCTCACATTTTGTTCCCTTCTTAACCTTCCCTACTAAACCAAGTTTCTGCCCCTATAGTTCACTAACACTGCTCCTATTCGAGTCACCAATTACAGGTGCTTCTTGACTTGTGATGGGGTTATATCCTAACAAACCCAACAGAAGTTAAAAACATCATGAGTTGAAAATGTATTTAATAACTAATTTACTGAACATCATAGTCTAGCCTCCCTTAAACATGCTCAGAACACTTACATTAGCCAACAGTTGGGCATTTATCTTGAATTTCCTTCCTCTTCTTTTCACCAGAAGTGGGAGACACAGATGGGCGTTTTGTACACATAGTGGGAAGTGAAAGCACAAAGCACAATAGCCAAAAAACACAGGCAACATAGTACACTGTAGAGTATTAGTTGTTTACCGTCATGATCCCGTGGCTGACTGGGAGCTACAGCTCGCTGCCGCTACCCAGCATCACAAGAGAGTACTGTACCGCATATCACTAGCCCAGGAGAAGATCAACATTCAAAATCTGAATTATGGTTTTACTGAATGCATATTGCTTCTGTACCATCGTAAAGTAAAAAAAAATTGTAAGTCTAACCATGGTAAGTTGAAGACTATCTGTATATCCATATGGCCAAATTCAATGCTTATTTTGCTATATCAGTTTTACTGTTTTTGTCTGCAGCATCTGAAAGTTGCTCTCTTCCTCCTTATAATACAATGACCTCTCTTATTTCCATTTCACCAGACTTTCTTTGCTTTATTCTTATCTTCCAAGGAGTTCCTTCTTTTTTTCTTTTGCTGGTCCTTTCTCCTCAACTTTACTTCGACAGATTTGAACATCTCAGGGCTCAGATCTAGTGTCACTTCTCTCTCTACATTTTTTTTTTAGGTAATCCCATTTATATATTGATGACTTCCAAATTTATACCTCTTTTCACTATATTTAGTTACAGATTCATATATTCAATTATTTATTTGACATTTTCACTTGGTTACTTTATAGACCTCGTACACCAGAAGCGATGTGTGACGTGGAGCGTTGTCATGATGGAGGATGATTTACAGCACACTTTAAAACACACTTTCTCTCAACCGTAGCTCACACCGGACTGACTGCACCCAACAAGTTGAAACTTGTCTCACACTGTTGCTAAGGCTCGATGCACCGCTTCCTATATTGAAGGTCCCTGCCTTTCCGTTGAACGGCACTCGGCAGCAGCATTCATTGTAATTTTTTATCACAGTGGAAAGGCTCCATGTCACACATTGCTTTTGGTTCAGCAATTTCTGTCAAATAAAAACATTATGATGTGTCGTCATCCACCTTATTCACCAGATCTAGCACCGTGCAACTTCTGGCTCTTCTCCAAAGTAAAAATGACCATGAAAGGTAAACGTTTTGAATTGATTCAGGACATGGAGGCAGCCATGACAGCGCAACTGAAGACACCCATGGAAAAGGACTTCCAGAACTGCTTCAGAAAGTGGCAAGAATGATGGGATAAGTGTGTTCAAAGGAAAGGGGAGTATTTTGGAGGGATTAACGGCAATGCATCTTTTACTGTAATAAATATTTTTATTTAAACATTAACTGTATTTTTTATCACACCTCTTAGAATTCATCCTTTAAAAAATTCCCTAACTCTATTGCCAGAATCCAAATCTGAGCCACTATAATTTCACATATAGACTACTTAGTATAATAACTTACCAGATGGTCCCATTAACTGTACTCCTCCCCACCCCCAACACATACACTATCCGTTCTTCTGATAACCAAAATGAAATTAAATCTCCATAGAAATCAAACTATGCTAAATGTGGTTTCCATTCCTTCAATGTCTTTTCATTGCACTTAAATCTAAATTTCCTCTCATGATCTATAGAAGGCCTTTCATGACCTTAACAGTAACCCTTTGCTCACCATGCAGACCTTATTGCTCAAAACATTTACTCCTCAGTGTACTGGCACTTGATTTGCCATCTTTTGCAAAAGGATGTTATTTGTCCAGAATATTGCATGGCTGGATTATATTTCTGATGCAAGTCTCAGCTTGAAACCTCATTTTCTCAGGTAGACCTCTCCTGACTATGCTATATTAAGCTATCTTTCATCTCCAGTTTTTCTCAGTTGCATCAATCATGGTTTGTAACTATTTGTTTCCTTGATCGTTACCTGTCTTCCATAATGTTTTTCATGACTGTGCATGAAAGTATGGACTTTGTCATATTTTAAACACTCAAGATGGTTTCTAACACTCAAACATTCAATGTGTGAGTGCATACATATTTATTAAATAAGGAATAAGAACAGAAAGAAATCTGCCTGCATAGACAAACCACTTGAGTTGGCTACATCACTTTTATCCTAGATATGCCAGTAAGGAGACTTATGTACGTACAGTAAGAGGTCTCTACTATGTCTTCTGTTTTTACCTCAGTATTCTTTGACTTGCTATAGTCCACAGAGAAATTGAATGTTGAGGTGCCATGTTTGTGAGTAGATGACCAAGATTCTAGAGTCCACAATGTGAAGACACGAGACATGGAGCTTCCAAGATTCCCATTAGCCCTGATCATTCTTTTGTTTCCACTCCTAATAAATTCACATAAGCTGGGGTGGTAGGGACAGTTATTCTTTAAGACAGTATTATAAAGATGCATCTAATTTTTTATTGTTTCTTTAACTTACAAGGCACTCAGTAAATCTTTTTTAAATTTATCAGTTTAATTCATGTGTATCTTTTGCACTGTCAGATTCAGAGAAGAAAAGTTAACATGAAACTAGTGTAAATGTAATTTTTATTTTTACAAAATTTATTGCTCAAAATATTTATAAACATTTTCTCTTCTGCACACAAAGTCCATGGCTTCTCTAGGCTGATTAGTAACAGAGTCAATCACTCCAAAATATCTTTGCCACAATGTAAATAATGTACTTTTGACGGAATTTTCCAAATAGATATCTCATCGATGATTTATGTATAATCAGAATAATATCTTCCTGGCATGTAGGGATGACCTGTATTGAACCAATGTCTCCTCTGACAGTTTTGATATTTTAACATCTCAAAACACAAGTTTTTGATTGAAGGTTTCATCTTATCAGGGTATCTTGACAATCCACGCTTGATGCAATCCTAGTTTGCTAAAAGCAAACTTACATGTGTCTTTTGTGTAAGAAATATCATTCATAAGCAATAAATAGTTCTATTAAGCTCTTCCTTTAGCTAACCATGTTTTGCAGAAACTTTCTCTATAAACTGTTCTTCTCTCACTCTTAGCAAGTATCTTTCTTTCATTGATCTCTGATCCCAAAATAATTTTTCAACTCACTGTGGCAATATTTATTTTAATCACAATTTATGTCTTAATTGTGATTATAATCACAATTGTAATTCTACATTCATAGAATTTCATGGAATTTAAGAACTGTCACCTTATTGAGTCTTTTCCAAAGGTGGAGCTTAGTTGGATGATCTGAGAAGAAAAATCTTTGTAGGACCATGAGGAGAAGCCAGCTGCTTTTCATAGAGATGCAAATAACAGCAAGATGCTATTACAGTTGTCCTGAATTAGTCATACAATTTTGCATCTGGAGAAATGGTTTAGAACTAATTATGAAAATACTCTTTCTTCTCACCGTTAATATTAGAATATTAACTTCTGTATATTCTGAAACATGTTTAAAAAAAACTTTGAAGGGAAGAAGAAAAAGAGAAGGAAGAGAGAGAGACAGAGACAGAGATAAAGAGGCAAAATCAGCTCCATATGAGATTTTTTAAGTTTTAAGTATACTAAACACATTTTAAGAGTAATCGGCCATATGAAGCCAATATTAATGCAGCAACTGAAGATAGTTAAGAAACATCTGTCTTCCTTTGTCCTAGAAAATGATAGTATTTCCTCAGATCTGTTTATGTTAAACATTTCTTCTTTTCAGGATATACGTTACTTTGTATAGCACTCTTAGAAATGCTTGTCTTAATTTAATGTTCCCCAGAATTAGGATAAGTGAATGGCTTGAGGGATAGATGAGAGCTATAAACTCACAAACCATCACAGCTAAGTCAGACTCTATTATTAACTCGGTGGAGGTGGCTACGATAAAGGACAAATAGTAGACAAGGAATAGCAAGAGAAAGGATATGACAGCCTTCATGGCTCCCAAGTGGGCTTCTATGCTGGCATCTCTGAACCCTGTGGCACTGAGCTGCATTTGCCTGGTGTGTCTCCACAGGGAGAGGATCAAGAGGAGAAATGAGATCAGGGACACAGAAAAGGGGAATAGTGTTAACAGGTTGAGACATACCTTGATGGAAACATATTGAGCTTTATCGACCCTGCATCTCAAAGTTAAGTTTGTTTTCCCCTTTGCCCTGAAACAAAGTCTGAAATCATCATTCCGATCCTCAGTGATGGGAAGGCTAATAACCACAGAGAGGACCAAGCACACCAGCAGGATCCTAGGAATCATCTTGTCAATTCTCCACTTCATCCAGAGGAACAGAGGATGGAAGAAATTAGCTATCTTGAGGAAATAGAAAATGCTGAGGCAGGTGGCAAACCAGACACTCACATGGTTGGTTAGTGTCCAAAAGAAGTCAAAGATTCTAAATTCTTGACTGCTGATAAAGACACCTGGATACAGCATCAACAGAACAGAGTCGTACATTATTAGACACAATAGAAAAATTCGGGATATGGCCAGACTTGTGAGAATTAAATCAACGGAGGCAATCTTTCTATTCTTCATCCAGTCCATGCAGTTTACCAGTCCAATGAATGCATTTCCTAAGATCCCCACTGAAAACTCCACAGCTGCTATGATTATTAAGGTGTTATTTACTTCTTCTGACATGTTAGAACAGACAAATATCCAATTTGTTTCTATTTGAATTGATGTAGTTTGATATATACACCTACTTCTTAGGTTTTGCTGTAATTGTCTTTACCTCTTTTATTGTAGTCTTGTGATGAAAACTGGAATGGTAAATGAAGACTGTAGCTATCTTCATTCAATCCTAATTAGTCTTGACAATGTGGTTGGTGATCCCTTGCCTGGTCGCTGTACGTCCATTTACCTTCCCAGGAAGTTTTACTTTTTTAGGCTGAGCTACAGTTTGCTAATATGCAAATTAGGCCAATTCCTTTTCTTGGTCTGCACTGCACTGTCTTTCTCAGGTTACGTACTGCAAATTTTAGATTCGTTAATTGGTGATGCATACTAGTAAACTCAACGGGCCTGCCAGATTTAGCAAATAAAAATACAGGACACTCAGTTAAATGTGAATTACAAATAAACAATAAGTATTTTTTAGTGTATGTCCCAAATGCATGATAAGTACTTCCAGGAAGTATTGAAATTCACATTTAAATGGGTGTCTTGTATTTTATCTGGAAAACCTAAACCTCAGAGATTTTTCTGGCAATTAGAAATGGTCAAAAATTGAAATTTGTAGAGGAATCTTCATGTTACTGAATGATAATGTTAATTATTGCTAAATCTCAAAGGTTCAATTAACATTGAGAGCTATATATGTTCAGGGAACTTGAAAGGCGAACACTCAATATAGATTATTTTGTTCTAAAAAAGTATTTTAGTTCATTTTATCTTGGATGTTTAGAGGAGCAATTACATGGCATAAGATTTCTTAAAACAATATATTGTCTTATTAATCAAGTCACATTTAATGCTCATTTAGTTTGTCATGATATATGTAATAAAGTGAAGGAGCCAGGCATGACAAAGAAAAGTATTGATTATTTAGATTTTTCCTTTTCGTTTAAAATGTTCCCAAAGTCAACTGTATATACAAGAGGGAAGAGAGTAACAGCCTGTGTTTCATTCTGCTCTCTACCTTTCTCCATCCCAAACTGTCAGAGTATCTGGATCTTTAGCTATCTAGCCTGTTAGGCAGACAACTGGTGATTAAATTTATTTCATTTCTATAGACTAACTCTTGTTTTGAAATAGCTTCTTTAAATTATAGTTACTGAGAAACACTTTACTACATAGTGTTTCCATGGAATAATTCTGGGGTATTTATACTTTCCTTTGGAATGCAATTCTTCTCTCATCCTTTCTTAAAGGCCAAACCTTCATTCTTGAAACGTAGCCCTGATTATTGGACAAACTGCCTCATGTAGCCGTGTTCACAGGTGACTGCTTTCTTCTGAAAATGATCCCTGACCCAGGCCATCATTTTCTTCTCTATAGTGCTCTGGCAAATAAAGTGTTCACAATAACTATGATAATACCTTTACCCAAATAAATTTTGGACTAATTTTTTTTTTACAAATAAATGTAGGTTTTATGCTGACTAGTGTTGTACAGCAGAGAAGTTATGATGAAGCTACTACAGAAAAGAGTATGAAAATCCCTCAAGAAATTAAAAATACAACTATCCTATGATCCAGCAACCTCACTTCTGGGTATACATCCAAAAGAATTTAAATCAGGATCTTGAAGAGATAATTTGCACTCAAGTTTACTGCATCATTATGCACAATAACTAAAATGTAAACACAATCTAAATTCCACTGACAGATGGATGGATACAGAAAATGTGATATATACATACAATAGAATATTATTCAGTCTTTAAAAAAAGAAGGAAATCTTGCAATATGGAGAAACATGGGTGAGCCTGGAAGACATTATGCTAAGTTAAATAGGTTAGTTAGAGAAGGACAAATACTGTATGATTCCTCTTATATGAGCTATCTAAAATAGTCAAACTCACAGAAGCAGAGGGCAAAACAGTAGTTGTCTGGGCCTTAGGGGAAAGAGAAGAGTTGCTATCCAACAAGTGTAAGTTTCAGTCATGAATAAGTTCTAGAGATCTACTGTATATCTGCCTAACAATGCTCTACTGTACACTTAAATTTTTCCTACTGCAATAAAAAAAAGAAAATAGGAAAACACTCTGCAAGGGTGCATTTTGTCAAATGCCTACCACTCTGAAATCCAGTCATCGTCACCGGAGACATTTGAAACATTAGAGATATAAAAAACACATGGAAAAAGGTCTTCAGGCGAATGCAGGAAAACCTCCCAGAAGTACTAATCATATAAGACATTTATTTCATCTACACCTGCAGAAGAATAAAAAGATTATCCCAGCACAGAATGTACAGTTATTTTATAGAATATAGTAATATATCTCATCACAGGAACATCAGCTCTCCTGCCTTATATAACAAATAGCAACATAAATAGCTAGCATATTAGAAATATACTTGATGAAGTTTATGTACTTAATCTACAATTATCAGGACTTTATAGAGTGGATTTACATAATCATATGCAGAAAAATTGATAATCTTCAGGTAATTAGTATCTTAGTTATAAGAAGAGAAAATGAGTATGTTGAAATAGACCCGAATTTGACATAGAAAATGGTGGGAGCAAAAATGTAGTCAGATCAAAACAGACATGTCCTTAGATGTGCCAGATCAAGTGTTTCAATAACACCCTAGTGAGGAGCGATTTGATGTTCACAGTAAAACCACATTTTATTAATGACGCTTTTGTGTGTGTGTGTGTAATTTACTCTGTATGGACATAGAGTGATTTTTTTTTAATAATAGTATGTAGTTCTTGCATTGTGTATAATAATTGCTTCCCAATTAATTTTCTTTTCTAGAGTTCTGAGTGAAACTATCCCTGCAGTTCTTATTAAGGAAAGATATTTGAGAAAAGCAGTCTGACTGATATTAGTTACCTCCATCCAGACTGTGAAGAGCACTTAGGAACACCCCTTAGAGCAGTGGTTCTCAACCTGTGGGTCGCGACCCCTTTGGGAGTCGAACAACCCTTTCACAAGGGTCGCCTAAGACCATCAGAAAACAAAAAGATATTTACATTATGATTCATAACAGTAGCAAAATTACAGTTATAGAGTAACAATGAAAATAATTTTATGGTTGGGGGTCACCACAACATGAGGAACTGTATTAAGGGGTCACGGCATTAGGAAGGTTGAGAACCGCTGGTTTAGAGGGAGGTGTTTGAATGAGTTTTATCCCTATCCTGGTACTGACTGAATGCAAGTTGTTTGAAAGGAAATTTAATTTCAAGGGAAATAAATAGGAGATGCCAGAGAAAGGTCAACTAGGAAATATTACCGGAGAGATCTCCTAAAGCATCACTCACTCGGGAGGAGAAAGAACAAAACTGAACCAGAGACAGGACCGGTGAGAACTAAGTAAGTCCATAGTTAATAAGCCAAACCAGAGTGATTCAGCAGAGCCATGAAGGGAGCTCAGTTAAGGGCCAGCAATGAAATCGTAGGCTAGAAAAAAGTGAGAAACGAGTTAGTGCAGCTCAGGGGCACTTTACTATGGGCCAAAGTCAAGCCTTAAAGGCCTTTAACTAAGCAACACATGCCTAACACCTGCAGTGAGAAGACAAAAAGAGAAGTGTGGGACCTGAAATTCTTGGAGGGAAGGGAGTGTGAAGATGAGAATGTCTGTGGTGTAAAGAGATATAAATGATGTATTTATTAGTGTGCTGGTGGGTCTCAATAACACTTAAAGATATATACCCAAAATAAATGTAATAATTGGAAAAAATAAGAATGGGCCTATAAGAAAGCTGCAATTTTATTACAAAATAAGATTTGCTTTTAAAGTTTACTTTTTTTTTTTTTAGCTGAGCCATCCTGCCACCTGTTGGCAGCTCAGCGGCAGCTCAGCTTGGACCCATGTGGGAATCTAACCGGCAACCCTGTTGCTCAGAGCTCACACTCTTGAGCAAGCTCTTAACCAACTGAGCCACTCGACCAGCCCTTAGGGTTCACTTTTATAGCCAAGGTTTTACATCACGCATGCTGTTTTTCCACATCTCAGCATCCTGACAGCTGCCTGCCTCAACTTGTTATTTCCAATAATTAAAATAAGTGAGTGACCTGAGGGATAGAGAATTGCTATGATCTCTCCAAACATCACAGCTAATTTGCCTTCTTTCACACGATAGCTAAATGTCACTAAAAGAGAAGCCAGGTAGTATAAAAAAAGGAGGAAGAGAAATGAAGTCACAGTTTTCATGGCTCCCACATGGGCCTGTGTGCTGGGATTTCTACAGCCTGTAACGCTGAGCTTCATTTGCTTTGTATGTCTCCACAAGGACAAAATTAACAGGACAAATGAGATTAATGACACAGTAAGTGGGACAATTGCCAACAGGTTAAACAGTGAAAGCACGCTGAAGTATTGAATTTTACTCACATGAAACAATTCAGTGAAGTTGTTTTTATGTTTTGCAATATTAAAAAACTCAGAATTACAATTCGATATCATTGTGAGCACGAGGCCGCTCAACAACGAAATGGTCAAGCACACCAGCAGGATCCAGTGAAGCATCCTGTCAATTCTCCACTTCAGCCAAAGAAAAAATGGGTGGGAGAAATTGGCTATCTTGAGGAAATAGACGACATTGAGGCAGGAGGCAAACCACATGCTTAAGTAGTTGGTGAGTGTCCAGAAGATATCGACTATTTTTAGTTTATCATCTTTATAAACATCTGGGTAGAATACCACTATGAAGCCATTTAGCACCATGACACAGAGCAAACAAATTCTAGAGATAGCCAAACCGATGAGGATGTAGTCAACTGAAGAGATCTTTTTCTTCTTAATCCAATCAATCCAATTTACTAGTCCAATGTATCCATTCCCCAAAAGTCCTATGAGAGATTCTCCAGTTATTATGATCATAAAGATGTTATCTTCTGTACTGAGCATGTTGGTAGAGAGAACACCCTGATCTCAGAAATCACTGCAGATGGGCTAATTTACAAATGACCAGTTGGAGCATAATAAGTAAATTCTTCAAATCATGGAATAATGTTTTCATTTGTCATTATTTTGACTTTGATGTCATTCCAGAAGTGCCCAGCTTGCCTCTGAAATAAGATTGCTTCTACATTCATAAAGAATAAACCAACTGATTGTTTGCTTCAAAAAGCTTGACTAGCTTTGTATCCTGGGTGAATTATAGTTATCGCTGTTTAGTGAGTGATAACCGAAATGTTTGGTTAAAACTGCTTTCATACAAATTGAAAGAGATAATATTTCATGAATTTGCAATAGGCTTTATGCTGGTAAGTTCCACATATTTGGACCAGTCAAATTGAGTTTCAAATAGGGAACCACAAAAAGCAAACAAAAACATGTGTTTATTAAAAATCAAAATATGTAAATGAAACATCATTTTCATCAGTATCTATTACAAATTTCCCACAAGTCAGTTCTCCTAGTGGAAGTGGATTTTGATTTTGGAAATGATCAGTGTAGTAGATTGTAGAGAGTTTTTCTGTTTTTATGAATTTCTAGGTCTTTATATATTAGAAAGATTGGTACTTCTTTTATGTTGTGAATTGATAGTATTTCCCCAATCTGTTATTTGTCTTTAGCCTTTCCTTGTATTTTTAAAATGCAAACAGAAGTTTTCAAATTTTACATAGTTGTATTTATCAGTCTTTTTTGATTTCCGGATCTTGAGTTATAGTTAGAAAAGCCCTTTCCATTATATTTGCCTATATTTTTCTCTATTGCTCTCATGGTTTGCTTTTTTAATGGAAACTTTTAAAAAATTAATTTTGTGTATGTACATATATACAAAATACATATACATATATACATAGTCAAGTATGGGTCCAACCTTATTTTGCTACAGATGGCTACCCACTTGTTTCAATGTAGTAATTAATCTTGCCCCGACTGCTTTGAGCTGCCACCTTTATTTGAATGATAATTTCCCTTAGGTATTTGCAAACCAAATGTCTACTGCTCTTGACTCTTGTTGTATTAATGATTAAAAGGATTGTGAGTCATATGGCTATTTCTAACTGCATAGGAAAACTTATGATAATTCGAGATTTTAAATATTCAGCTTATGATGGCCAAAAAAATCAAGATCTTCTATGGTGGTCCTGAAAGAGCCTCTTATCTCTTATAGCTGTAAGTCAGAGCTAAAAGTTAATTGTTTATATAGGAGAATTACTATATATGATGTATTCACAGGTTCACCAAGTCTCACCAAATGAAATTTAGAGCAATAATGGGAAAATGGTGGAAAATTGACACTGGTAATGACAACATCTATGTGGACTTGGATAAATAAAGCTGAGAATCTTGAAATCCTTTTCTAATGGAAACAGTCTACCTTCTCATGTCAGAGGGCATTAGCCTTACTTTGCTTGGAGGCCCTATAGTAACCTCACCCGGGAAAGTTGCCACACAAAGGGATGCTTATTTTCCACAAGATCCAATTCAATCACCATTTATTGACTCTAGACCCATAACCAAAACCACATGTCAACATGCTCAAGGCAATCAGGGGAGGAGGAGAGAAAGGAAGGCAATTACAAAGTCTGATCAAAAAGGAAAATATTTATACTCCAAAAGAATTGCAAGATTACACTCATTTGTGATGACAGACACCCGAAGAATACATGTGAGAATGGATTGCAAGGGTTTTAGACAAAAGAGGAAATATCACTGGACCTGAGTCAACATATTGATATAGCTGCCTCTTCACAGATCCTGAGTGTAATGTGTGAACTTGTATAGCCAGCTTTAATAGTTTATGTGCTTGGTTGTCTAAAGCTTGAAATAATTCTTCTTTACATTAAATGGGGTTTAATGCAAGAACTTGCAGAATTTAGAGGAAAGAATCTAACAATTTAGGAAGATAGGCATATTAAAGTGAATTTATCCTATGTAACTTTCCTTCTCCCCATTATATGACCCAAGAGGGCTCGAAGGACACTTCATTTACTAGAGCATTGAGAAATACATTATTGAGGGAATTAGCTTTGAAAAGCTCTGTAGAACCTATCTTCTCAACAGAAGGTATGATAGTGGTAGATGTTTGAGATGAGTTTCCCAGTTTCAATGGTGATGATGGAATCCTGGAGTGTTGGTGCCTAAACAATAGATGCAAAATAGACACAAGTTGTATATATATATATATATATATATATATATATATATATATATATATATATATATATATATATATATGTGTGTATATATATATATATATATATATATATATATATATAGAGAGAGAGAGAGAGAGAGAGAGAGAGAGAGAGAGAGAAAGAGAGAGACCATATTGAACAGCAAGGACTGTGGTGATTAGAATACTTTGACTTTAACATATCTTTGGTGGTGCCTAATTGATCATGATGTCTTTAGGACTGAAAGAGATGGCTGGCTACTAAAATCCTACTTCATCTTTATAACAAGAGAAATTCTGCATCTGGTGACCAAAATACTGACTTGAGTTGCCATAACAGAAAGACCTGATTTTTAATCCCAAACCATTTTACAAATCCAGAGCTCTTTAATTGAAGAAAAAGCCATTGCCTCCTAAATACATTTTAAAATTCATACAACACAACAGCAAAAAAAAAAAAGATAAAAAATGGGCATATCTAAATAAGACATTTTCCAAAGACATACAAATGGACAATGGATACATGAAAAGATGTTCAACATCATTAATCATCAGGGAGATGCAAATCAAAACCACGAGATACACCTCATACCTGTTAGAATGGCTGTTATCAAAAAGACAAGAAATAACAAATATTGGAGAGGATATGGCCAAAAGTGAATCTTTGTACACTGTTGGCTGGAATGTAAATTGGTACAACCACTATAAAAAACAGTATGGAGGTTCCTCAAAAAATTAAGACTGGAACTACCATATGATCCAGCAATTTTACTTCTGGATATTTATCTGAAGAAAACTATCCCCATGTTCACTGCAGCATCATTTATAATAAATAGCCAAAATATGGAAGTAACCTATGTGTCCATTAAGAGATGAGTGGACAAAGGCCAGCCGAGTGGCTCAGTTGGTTAGGAGCTCGCTCAAGAGTGCGAGCTCTGAGCAACAGCAGTTCTATTCCCAGCCCGAGCTGAGTTGCCGCTGAGCTGCCAACAGGTGGCAGGATGGCTCAGCTTAAGAAAAAAACAAAGAGATGAGTGGACAAAGAATATGTGATATAAAATGTAAGTTCTTATAAAATGTAAGATCTTACTCTTTGTATAATATGGATGGACCTAAAGGGTGCCAAGTGAAATAAATCAGTCAGAGAAAGACAAATATCATTTGGTCTCTCTTACATGTGAAATTGAAAAGCAACAATACAGCAACCAAAAAAAACCCAACCTCATAGAACAGATTGGTCATTACTAGAGGTGGGGGTGTAGGGGTAAAAGAAATGGGTGAAGATGGTATTAAATATTTAAAAAATAATAAAAATTTGCTGCAAAATTTAATAACAAATCAAATAAAACCACCAACAAAAAAGAAACAGCAGTGATCTCATTTAAGTAATTTTTTAACATTCACTACAGAAAAATGCAAACATAAAAAGTAAACAATAGTACAATGAACCCCCAATGTAAAAACACTCAGCTTCAAAAAGTATTTTAATATTTAATGTTTTTAAATTTTTTATTCTAGTTGATTAATCTGATATTAATCATATTTATAAATCCCTTATAGATGACTTGATCTTTTAACCAAAAAATTCTTGTATTAGTATATGTCTAAGTAATGACTATTCTGGGTCTATCACACCTGATAACATGGTATCTTAAAACATATTCTATAGATTCAAGTATTTTATTATTTTAGGAATTATTTCTTGAATTATACAGTTAAGTTTATTTCTCATTTTCAATGATTTTGCTCTTCTGCTTTGGGAATTCCAATTATCCATATTGCTTATATCTCTTTTTACCTATTTTAGATACCTAATATTTTTACCTGAATCCTTTGGACTCTTTTCTTAGTTCTGCTTCATTTTATTGCTTGTCTAATTTCTAGTCTTTACGTTTTTTTGGATTTTCCACTGTATTTTTGGACCCATTGTACTATAATTTTTATTCTGTGATGGTTTTGTTCTTTTCTTCTTGTTCCTAAATTTTATCAGTTTAGGGTAAGTTCTTGAATTATAGCTGCAGTATTTCTTCATAGAGACGATTGCTTCACTAATTAAGAAAAAATCCATAGTGAATTTGGTCACAATTTTCATCTGTTCGATGTCATTGTATCTCTTGTGTTTGATACCTGTTAATGTTATAGTTTTATACCAAGTTTTCCTTCCATTTTTCATATTTATCATTATTTAGATGTTGTGACAATGTTACTAATAATTGAATGAGTTGCATTTTCTTGGAGTAGCCCTTTGTGTGTTTTCCTATAATTTCTTTTTCATGATTCAAAATCTCCCTTCATTTTCCTGTTTCTTCAGAGACAGACTGGATCCTACTTTAGAATTGATTTAAATGATATTCTGTATGTTCTCACCTTCTCTATTGTTCTTAACCAAACCAGACTTCGAAGAGTTTCTATCAGTAGCTCTACTTATCCCATTTCCTGCAGCCAGTGTTACAAAGGGATACAGTTTTTGCATTTCAGCATGTGTCCCTTGGACACAAGAGGTGTATTTTGGCTATTGCTCTCTGAGATTTGCAGCCTTCTCATCAATCTCTGTCCTCCTCTTTCTCTCCTCCTCCTCCCACTCCTCCTTGTCCTCTTCCTTCTTTTTGTACTTCTTCTTACTCAACTTTTGTCCAATTGTAACTGCTTTTGGCAGCTCTTACATGAATTTTGGAGCCTGCATATATGTTTCCTGGTTTCACCAATATTTTTCTTTTTCTCTTTGGTTTTTGCTGGTGTCTAGCATAAGAGCAAAATACTGATTTATACTATTAATGTA